AGGGAAACGTTTTATTATTATTATAATAATGGAACTATAACCATCAGGGTTATTTCCAAATAAGAACATCCGATGAGCTTCCACCGTACTTTTTGTCTGTTTGTTTAGGCTGAAGAAATTAATAAACATGTGCCCTTTTTCGAAATCTTCATACATCAGTGTTCAAAAATGCGTAAAACAGGACCCGTGAAGATTCTGGGGTAGAATAGGTCTTCAGCAACCCATGCTTGCCATAAAAGGTGACTATGCTTGTCGTAAAAGGCGACTAACGGGATCGGGTGGTCAGGCTCGCTGACTTGGTTGATGCATGTCATCAATCCCAATTGCGTGGATCGATGCTCATGATGTAAATCAGTGGATTGTCTGGTCCAGACTCGATTATTTACAGACCGCCTTCATATAGCTGGAATTTTGCTGAGTGTGGCGTAAAACAACAAACAAACAAACAAAGCGTAAAACAGATATTGCCTCAAGTTTATTTACACTGTCCTTACAGATGATACCCCTGTCTGTTGTCACTCTCAGTTGCGTTAGCGAGCAAATTGACTCATGCCAGCTTGTGAGCCCCAGCGGGCAGTGTCAGACTGTCAAGAAGAAGCCAGAGATTAGTGCCCCTTTAAGCATCCGAAAACTCTTTTCACGGGGATATATGCCACAAGACTGAAAGCCAGTCTTTAATTTGCAATAATTGTCATTACCGGTGTAGTGTATATGCAATCAAGGTTTATAATTGTATGCATATGTATGGGTCAGAGGTCAGGGTCTCGTTTTGGAGATTGACCATGTGCGAGCCAGTATCAATGGCGGCGCCCTGTATTCATTGCACTGACGACGAATAAAAGTCTTCGTTTCACTCCATCAAGGATCATATCATTTATCAACAGAGCAAAGATCATTCAAGAACATTATATTGGCGACGAGGATACACAGATGAAAAGAAAAAAAGTATCTAATCATTGTCATGGCTGTTTCATTACAAAGCGTACCTGTGTTTCCCGCGTTCGATGTACATGCCGACGGAAACAGTGGTCCGCGATGGAAGCAATGGTTGACCCGTTTTGAAAGACTTATGGTAGGTCTGAACATTGTTGAGCCAACTCAAAAACGTGCATGGTTGTCACATCTAGCTGGCCCCACAGTCGAAGAAATATTCGACACTATTCCAAACACAGGGAATGGAAAAGAGTATGACAAGGCAGTCAAAGCACTCACTTACTATTTCATTCCTATCGTTAACACGACTTTTGAAATCTATAACTTCCGTCAAGCAAAGCAAAATGTACGTGAAAGCATTGACGCTTACTGCACTAGATTGAGAAAATTAGCGCAAACCTGTGATGTCGACAAAGAGATATTCTCGCAGATCGTCTTGACATGTACGTCTCAGAGACTTAGAAGACGAGCATTACGAGAAGATCTTGATTTGACAAGATTGCTTACTGCAGGCAGATCTCTAGAAATTAGCGGTTTTCAAGCTAGTAATGTGGAAAAATCGGAAATAAATGCAGTATCTCGTTCACACTCACAGAACAATCATTCCGCACACAGACAATCTCGATGACAGTCTCGCCGAAATAGGAAGGATAAAATTCGATCCCACTCGCAGCAAGGAGAATCTAGGTCAAGATAGGGACGATCAAGAGTCAGACAATTAAGTGGGTCAAACCAAACTTGTTATTTCTGTGGAGGTTCGTATCCCCATGTTGGAAAGTGTCCTGCCAAGGGTAAGAAGTGCAACTATTGTGGCATTTTAAATCACTTAAAAAAAATGTGTCACTCTAAGAATAGAGACAATGAGCAAAATTCTCACACAAACAAGGAAAGAATAAACATTGTACCGCAAGCTCTGACAATCAATACCATCATGACTCTGACACTGATGAAGAATATGTTTATTCCATCCAATGTAAAGATTCAGTCAACATGACAATGGACAATGGAAACAACAAGATTCCAGTCCGGGAACTGAACATTGCTGGAAAATTAGTCCCATGTGTGATAGACTCTGGCGCAGCTGAAAACATGCTTGACCAAGCAACATATGATGCCCTCAGACAGGAAGGGCACATAACTGGAAATCTTAGAGACTCTGAGAGACATTTTTTCGCATATGGATCACAAGACCCACTGTATGTGGTTGGGAAGACCGTTCTACCTGTGCAGTATGGAAACATAAAACAGGACTGTGAATTTTATGTGGTATCAGGTAGATGTGGCAATCTTTTGAGTTATCAAACTGGTGAATCATTGGGTATCATTCATATCGCCAGAAATGTGAAATCATCTGAGGTGGAAGACATTATTTGTGATTTTCCAGAACTGTTCAATGGAATTGGCAAAATCAGGAACAAACAGATAAGACTACATGTTGACAAATCAGTACAACCAGTCCGGCAACCACACAGGCGAATCCCATTCCACATACGGAAGGACGTGGAAGAAGAACTGTAAAGATTAGAAGATCTGGACATCATAGAGCCAGTACTGAATGAGCCCACTCCATGGGTCAGTCCCATCGTTGCAGTACCTAAGAAGTCGTCAGGCATCCGCGTATGCGTTGACATGCGTGAGGTCAACAAGTGTATTCGACGTGAAAATCACATTTCACCAACTATTGATGACCTCATCTCAGAATTAAATGGATCAACAGTCTTCTCCAAGCTAGACTTGAATGCAGGATTTTATCAGTTGGAGTTGAGCCCAGAAAGTCGCTATCTGACCACATTTAGCACCCATGCAGGACTCCGACGATACAAACGCCTCTCCTTTGGGATAAATTCTGCTTCAGAGATATTCCAGAATGTCATTTCAGAAGTTATTCAAGGGTTTCCCGGATGTAGAAACATCCAAGATGACATTATCGTTCATGGTGCTACTCAGCAGAAGCATGATCAAACTCTTCGTGCTGTATTCACAAGACTCCGTGAACATGGCATCACCCTAAACAAGTCTAAATGAGAGTACTCAAAATCTCAGATCAAACTCTATGGACATATCTTTACAAGTAAAGGGCATGCTGCAGATCCGGAGAAAGTTAAAACAATTGTAGAGGCTGAACCTCCAAATTTGGCAAGTGAAGTGAAATCTCTACTTGGCATGTCAGTCAACTATCGACACTCCTGTTCACAGAGAACCACTCAAAATGACAATTCTTCCATCATCTCCATGGGAAAATGTGTCGATCAACTTCTCAGGACCTTTTCCATCTGGAGAATACTTGCTAGTGGTTGTAGATGATTATAGTCGATATCCAGAAGTGGAATTTGTTCGATCAACATCAGCAAAATCTGTTTGTCCAAAGCTTGATGACATATCCTCAAGGCAAGGAATACCACGAATTGTGAAATCAGACAGTGGTCCACCATTCAACAGTAAGGAGTTTACACAGTTCGCAAATTACCTTGGATTTCAGCATCGCAAAATCACCCCCCTATGGCCAGAAGCTAACGGAGAAGCAGAACGCCTTATGCGCAATCTCAAAAAGTGTACACAAGCTTCGTGTGCAAAAGGACTCAATTGGAAGCAGGAAATTTTCAAATTCCTTCGCAGTTATAGGGCAACTCCACATTCAACCACCAATGTAAGCCTATTCCAAGCACTTACAGGAAGATCTATGAATACTCAATTACCACAGGTGAATACTCGCAATCTACAACCAAAGATCAAGAATGAGATTCAAATAAGACTGGACGACATCCGCAACAAGGAGAAGATGAGACTGTACGCAAATCAACATCCTCGAGTTAAGGAATCCAGTTTAAGTGTTGGTGACTCAGTACTTGTCCGCCAACCGAGGAAGAACAAGCTGACACCTGCATTCGATGTTCATCCGTATGTGATCACGGATTAGAACGGATCGATGCTAACTGCAAAGCAAGTTGGTAGTGCACAAAAGATAACCCGAAACTCCTCACATTTCAAACCAATCAGTATTGATTCAAAAGAACTGTCTTACTATGAACAAGAGGAGATGGCAAGATCTGCAGATAGTATGGATAATGGTGACGGTGACTCTCAAATTGATAATTCAAATCAGTCAGGTGAAACATCAGATGAAGTTCAAAGAGAACATATTTCGCCTACTTCCATCCTGAAACTACCAAACAGACGTTCTACCAGATCCATCACTTTGCCAGTTCGATTCTGGGACTACAAAATGATACATTATATCCAGAAACATTAGTGATGTAAAATCACAAATGTACACATGAAGTGTGATCTCTATATCAGAACTTTTATAAAGTGTTTTTGAACATATTATGATCATCAAAGATATGTTCTATCCGGAGCATAAAGGTTGAACATAAAGGTTGACAACAGTTGATTTATAATTCCACTGGTTAGTTCATGTAAAAGTGGTCTAGTTCTTTTATTGATTAGTATGCAGATAGAATACATTTGTATATTCTTCAATTTCTTACATAAGAGTTGATGTTTGTTCAAGAAAGTATCCCTATTATCTTAATATTCAGCAAAGTAATGATTTATGTCAGTGTTAAGGACGGTATTTGAGGTTGCTCATCATTTTAGAAGTTTAAGTTAATATTGTGATTTATATAATCTAATAGGATTGTTTTCAAGATAATATTCTTCTAGGCAATCAGGATATCTGGCTTAACAAGTAAGTTTTGAGATTATTACTTATCAGTTGTATGTTGCCCTACTTTGTAATGTAAAGTTAAGGAGGATTGTAGTGTATATATATGCAATCAAGGTTTATAATTGTATGCATATGTATGGGTCAGAGGTCAGGGTCTCGTTTTGGGGATTGACCATGTGCGAGCCAGTATCAATGGCGGCGCCCTGTATTCATTGCACTGACGACGAATAAAAGTCTTCGTTTCACTCCATCAAGGATCATATCATTTATCAACAGAGCAAAGATCATTCAAGAACATTATAACCGGTATTCAATTTTTGTTTTGAATGCTCACTTACACCAGGAGGGGACATATTGAAAGTTTCTTGAAAAAATGTCAGACACGGACTTCTGTGCTTACCTGGAAATTTCATCAGCTTGACTGGTGTTCCGTCTACCGTGAGTTTCTCCAGCAGTAGGTTACACTGGGTGGTTTTCCCACATCTGTCACACCCTTCAAAAACGATCAACGCCCCTCTCCCTTTCATCGTCGAGACGGACATGAGTCGATTTCTAATTAGGCGCCAGAATTGAATCGTGGGGGGTAGGGGTGTAATCGGCAAACCTCGACCCTTTCCGTAACCGCAAAGAAGTGATCTGTTCATTTTCATCAAGATCTAGTCTTGTTACATTCAGTGTTATTTGTTTAGGAGTCTTTATCATAAATATGTTCAAAAGATACTTGTAACCTGTAGATCTACAACTTATAGAAAATATTGTTCCACCACTGACTGTAAACAAAAGCACGTGGGTAGATCTACCTGCACTCGCGTGAATATGGCTGGCATTGACTACACATACAGTCTTTGAATTTGCTGAATATATATCATGATCTTTCGCCGTTCATAATCGTATACCCATACCACTACCAGATTATCAGTTTATTGCGGCCTTTCTGTCTGACTGGGCGTATATTTACATCACGTGACGTTCATGTGCTAGCGAGGTCGAAGGGGAACAAAATTCGGCTTATCTCGAGTACGAGTCACCCAGCTCAGAGGTCCATTTTCAGCATAAATGTCCAATCATGCTCAGAGTCATGAGGTGCGACAACATGTAACAAGTAAATTTCCCCGGATGTTGACATCGTATCCCAGTTCTGGTCGCTACAGACATTCACTAGCCCACCACGCCGCTGCTGGTGAAAAACGGCCATTGTAGAAAATGGCCAAAGCGTAACAGGACGAAACGGCAACTGCGTGATTTACGTGAACCATGTGAACGAACCACAATTAAGAACGTTGGACGGCCTCCAGATAGAGTTTAGGAGGGCGGACGATTTGTTGAACATTGCTAATTGTTCCAATCGGTTTTAAATTACATTTAGCGGTTTGTATTAATCAGTTTATAAGATAATAAGGCCTCAGGCCCATATGTGCTGCATGAAATAATATTTACAGGTAAGAAGAACGAAGACAGATAACATCTTTAACATAATTGGCTAGGTTATCAAGACAGTTTACATCAGAAGAGTTTAGCTTTCTATCTAGTATGTCTTTACGATTATTACCAGTAATAAAGTCTAAATATGGGATATATTTTGAGCGAATATCTTCATTAATAGGGCAAACAAGAATGAAATGAATTTCATTTTCAACTGCACAATGGACAAAACAGGGGTGTCTTATCGATGCCATCCCTCCTTCCTGTGTTATGTATAATTCCCAGTTCTCCAATACGTAAAAGGGTAAGCATACGTCGCTTTTCTGTTCATAATACATTTAATCAAAGACGTATATACAATCCGTGATTTAATTGATACGGTTCAAGTGATATAGAGATTACTACCAAACTCATTAAAATCCAATGTCATTAAACAAAGATCTGAGGACATCCCATTACGGTTCACGTCAGAACGACATTTCATTCGACCAATCAGAGCGTCGCTTACCAGATCATGAAAGTGACAGTCGGAATGTGATTTCTAATCATGCAACCTCGAAAATTTTAAAACGGGATATTCCGAACGATAGTTACGGGCTTAACGACTGAATTTACACAATCTTGACCATATATTAGCCATTCGAGGAGGATGTTCTTTTGTTCAGGTTTCAAACTTTTAAGCGAGAATTTGTCAAAATATGTTTCGCCAATTTGAAATTAGTGCCGTAAAGCACGAGAAAACTACCTTCTGATTGGCTAATGTCGACTTCTTGTCAGTAATTCCATTGGTCGGTCAGAGGTCGGTCAGAGGTCGGTCTTACGTGACCCGTAATGGGATGTCCTCACATCTTTGTTTAGCGGCAACGAGAACTAAGATCTGATTTCAATGAGATTGAGATTACTACACGAGTATCTATCAGATACGATTGATCTTACGAGTTATGTACGCTTTGTAACAACGAGTTGTAAGATCAATGGTATCTGACAGGCACGAGTGCAGTAATCTTTTTTAAACACCCTAAAATCGCACCTTTTTAGCATCAAATCGATGCATTTTGTATATTCTCATGATCGCATTACATCAGTCATAAGTGACGTACAAACTCGTTATCACTCTCGGTAACATCGCGATAGTATAGAGAGCTCCGCGACTATCGCTGTGAGGAGCTTGAAGTGACGTCGTCCCATGTCCTTCTTACTACTCATAAATAATGTGACCCTACACAAAAAGGTTTCCGGCATGTCTGTGGATTATCAAGGCGATGATGATAATGCAAACAAGACAAAAACAAAGAACACGCTGGATGCCGAGTTATAAGTTTACACCTCAAAGAAATTACCAAATATGTACAACAATGTTTACTTCCGTATGACATCACTACCGGTGGCCGACTTTTACAAAATGGCGCGTTCACTGACAACAGTACGCGGGAGGAGGATTTTCGTTGATTGAGCAGAGCTCCAGATAAATTCTTGACCAATTAAGTTTTTACTCTAGGCTTTCTATTATAATTGGGTTATTACATTCTTCATTGGGTAACCAATAATTTTTCACTCATCTCTTCATCACTCTATTGGGTTTTTTCCCAAATTAGTGAACATTTCAAGATTAAAAAAAATAAAAATAATGTTTTAGATGCATATAACTGTTCTAAAAAAATAGGCTTAACCCGGAAAGTAAATTAGCTCGTAATTGTGTTTCGGAAATTAGCTCCTTTGTACGCATGCTAAAAAAGCTCATTGGGTATTTACGCGTGCTGTTTTTATACATTTGAGTTTTTCATTTAATGCATGCGTTTCTGTACGCAAGTTAATTGAAAGTAATTGGGTTTTGAATATTTTTGGGCGGGGGGTATTTTACGCAAATACGCAGCTTATCTGTAGCTCTGAATTGAGGGATCGTATGTACCTTTTTATTGAATGTCTTTACGAGTCAAAAAACACATACTACGGGGTTGAGGTCTTTATTGCGATGCAATGAGTGTGATCAAGGATCTAGATATCATACACCCTGCCACACGTATGGCAACACCATAGATTATCTGAATAAACAATACATAGACTAAAACACTATTTAACATTAAATATATTGAACAAAGTAATACACACATTTTATTTACAATGATTTGCATGTATCACATCTGAATCTGTACATTACAAAGCTTTTTAAAACACTCTTGAAGTAAAACACTTTCACACATATTTCATTGAAGTGATAGAATACATTTTAGTGATAAAGTATGGGTGTTTAGCTTATCTTCTGCAGATTTAAATATTTAGACATAATCAACATTTATGGGGCAGTTAGTAGGTGAGGTGAAATTGGGTTTAACGTCGCGTCCAAGATTATTGCACTTATATAGCGACGTGCATGCACGTGTCTGTGTGTGGCTGCTTGTACTAGTCCGGACTGATGCCGATTTATAGTGCTAGCTCACTGAGATACCATGCCGAGTTTAACATGAATACCCCACTCAGACACAGTATACTGACTCCGAGCCGACCAGTCCTTGCTTTATCCCCTTAATGTCGAGCGCCAGACAGGGTAACAACAAGTACCATCTTTTAACGTCTTTTGGTATGACGCGGCCGGGGATCGAAACCCGGACCTTCCGTCCTCCGGTCGCACGCTCTACCACAGGACCACGGAGGCGGCGGGCAGTTAGTAGGTAAGACAGGTCAGATACACTTTGTTACAGCTGACTGAAACTGACAACTAGTTATATATAATAAATATACGTAAAAACCTAAAATGAAATTAAAACAAATATATACAAAAACTGCATCGGCCACATACTTCCCTCCATCGAAAAAAACGTCCACGTCACTTTACCTTGCCAGTGACAAGATCCAAGATGGCATCAGAAAGTCTGTGCTGCTGTTCTCGGAACAATCCGTCAGCTTGAAGTGAGCAGAGATAGTTGGCTCGCGTACGCCAGTCCCGATCTGCAACTGCAGAGAGAGCAAACTCTCCACTCTTCATCCATTTCGGCTGTGTCCGGGTCCGAGTAGACTGCCGTGGACGTGGAACAGGAGTGGTTATCTCTGGAGTTGGCTGTTGCTCTCTTTCTTCGTCGTCATTGTCATCATCATGATCTGTCCCAGTAGCGCCATCTTCTTGTTCGTCACGAATCTGCTCAACATGCTGAACAGCATCCTCAGTTGGCTCTTCCTCCCCCTCTGCAATAGGAGTTCCATCTCCTCCAGATACATTCTCTGATAGTTCCTCTTCAGTTGGCCCATCCACTGGTATATCAGTGGACACTGAAGCTTGTGGAGGGTGGGCATATTCAACAACAGTATCCTCATCCGATGAATCATCGTCGTTGTTGCTTTCTGTTGTCCTAGCAACTGGTGCTACTGGCAGTGTCCTCTGTCGTCTTGGTTTGGGTATTGGTACACCAAGGCTAGGCATAGAACCAACTGGCAGCAGGAGGTTACGATGCAAAATTCTCTTCCGCCCCTCACCATTTTCCTTACCAACTTCAAAGACTGGTATGGATGGGTTGGGTCGGCGTAGCACGACATAAACATCTTCCTCCCACCTGTCAGCTAACTTATGCCTACCTTCAAAGGCAACAATCTTCACTAAGACCCGGTCTCCTGGCTCTAACATAGCTGCTCTGGCTCTGTGATCATAGCCAATCTTCTGCTTGGATTGTGATTTCATTGCTGCTGTAGTAGCTAGCTCATAGGCTTGTCTGAGGCGATCTTTCAATGACTTGGTGTACTCGGTGGTGGATTTGGTACCTTGTGTCTCTATGTCCGAGCCAAAAGCTAAATCCACAGGTAGTCTAGGGTGTCTCCCGAATATCAAATAGAATGGAGCTGTTGATGTTGATTCGTGGCGGGTACAGTTGTAGGCATGGACGAGTGGTCCTATATGAGCCTTCCAATTCTTCTTCCTGTCCTGATCAAGAGTGAGTGAGTGAGTGAGTGAGAGTTAGGTTTAACGCCGCTTTTAACAGTATTCCAGTCATATCACGGCGTGTCAGCTTAATGTGGGAGGAAAGCCCGAAGTGGTGCAGGTCTCAGACGTTTACCATTTCGGTGAAACCCTGATCAAGAGTGCCAAGCATGTCGCATAGGGTACAATTAAATCGCTCACACATCCCGTTTCCCATTGGATGGTAAGGTGTTGTGCGGGACTTGTCGATGTTCAGTAACTGGCATAACTCTTGCATTATCTTGCTGGTGAAGTTAGCTCCCTGATCCGAGTGGATTCTCCTGGGTAGACCGTAATGAACTATGAAGTTCGAAAAGAAAGTCTCAGCTGTTGTCTTAGCAGTCATGTTCTTGGTTGGGTATGCTTGTGCATAACGAGTAAAGTGGTCAGTCACAACCAAAACATGTTCTACTCCTCCTTTTGATGGTTCTAAGGTAAGAAAATCCATGCAAACAAGTTCCAGAGGTTCTGTTGTCTCAATACTTATCAATGGGGCTCTGATGTTGGTTGGTGTTTTTCTCTTCAAACATCTCTCGCAATTATGCAGGTGAGTTTCAACATCACGAGACATTCCTGGCCAGTAGAATCTATCTCTCAATAGTGACATTGTCCTGTCTCTGCCAGGATGTCCAACGTTGTCATGTAAACTCCTCATAGCCGCAGTGCGACATCTAGATAGAAGAACCAACTGGATGTGATCAGCTCCATTGACGTTGGTGACTCTGTATAAAACTCCTCTTTTGAGCTTGAACTGTTTGTAGCTTTTAAGCAGAGTGGTCATCTCTTGGTCCCGTAGAAAC